AAACTATGATGTAATTACATGTATATATAGTATGTACCTAAGTGTGAGTATGCATGTTGTGCATGTACATATTTGCAGGTGTATGCATGGTGTGTGTGTGTGCATGCGTGTGTCTGGAGGGATGTGCGTGTATGCATGCAACTTCAGTTAACTATCTACATGCATATGCATGTGTATACATGAGTATATATATGTGAGTGTCTGTCTTTGAATCAGTGTATGCATGTATTTGTGTATCAATTTAAGTAAATGTATGTATGTAGCATATGCATGTAGCATAGGCATATGCATGCATAACATGTATTCATGTATGTAGATAAGTCTAAATGTACATACTTTGTGCGTATGCATACATACATGTCTCAACATATACAATACGTATGCATGTATGTATATAGGTAACCATGTATGTACACATGTATGTATAAATATGTATGAAAGTATATACATATATATAGGCATGAAAACAAGAATGCATACATATAAGCATGTACGCATGGCATGCATGTATTTAAGTCGTTACGTACTACGTACGCATGCAGTTATATATGTAATTGTGTACATATATATGTAATTATCTATGGTCCCTCTGACCTTAAAGGCAAGACAAACGGACGCCAGTTTAAATGCCCTACTCTGCGATTCTCATGCATTCCAAGTAAGGTCAACAGGATGTTAATGCTTTAACTAGAACTACTTTACTTATTCAAAAGTTGTGTGGCAATTAAATTAACTTTATCTCTGCTAAAAACTATTACACTAATTAACTTTTTTTTGTTTTCTGTCTCTCTCATTTTTAGTCCACTGCAGTTGCTTTAACTTGTTCCACAGCTTTTTTTCCCCTCGGCTTTCATATATGTGACTCTTGCTGCACCAATAGATGCTAAAAGGAAAAGCTCGTCTCTAATCCTCAATATTAAATGGCATGATGAACCCCTGTTGGATTCAGTGGGCAAACAATCGTTAAAGTAATCGCAATCAAACTAGGAATATTTCAAGTTTCAATAATCAAACAAGGCTAAGTAGTTGAACGTGCTGCAGTCGCAGCTGGGCTGACTTAGCCAAAGTTTGTAATTACGGCCGGGCACACAATGCATTGGCAACTTTTCAATTAAAAACATAAATACAAATCGAGAAGGACCAAATGGGGGCGGGTTTCTCAATATGCCTGAATGGCCCGATGGGTGGTTGGGTGATTGTTTGGGATTCTATGGGTATGGATGGCCGTATGGCTGAAAGCCAGCCAGTTGTGTCAACAATTACTTACTGAATGGTGATTAAAATGTTGATGCCCGACAGCACGACCATGGGCAGCAGACAATAGCCCAGCACGGAGGCAACCGCCCCGAAGGTCACTTGCGACCGTGTGACCATCAGCGAGAGCAGGCAGTAGAAGAATATGCAGCCCATGACGCCGATGCCATATATATAGGAGAAGGTGACTTTTCCGCTCTGAAACGAAATGGAAATGCAAATGGAAAAGGAATCATTCGAACTATGCAATTAGAGAACTTTTGGGATTTACACACCAGCAGCAGAATGCCTCCGAGTGTCAAACAGAATACCAATGGCCCGGCCATGTCCGTGTCCTGGAGAATTTGTTGATCTGTGCCGCGCAGCGGATTCAAAACGGCGAGCGTCTAAAATGAAATAAGGAGAGCGAGTTATTGTGTGATTCCAAAGCAATACTATTGAAATTAAAGCAAGTGAAGGATTTCGCAACTGAACAGCGCCGTCATCATTCATCAGCTACGGCAGGACACGACACAATTCATTTGTTCGCACACACACACTCACTCACAACAGCCATAAAATGGAGCCTAAGTTCCGCTTTTTGAACAGTTGCTCTGTGTACACGTATGTATGTTTGTATGTCTGTATTTGTATCTGGGTGTGTGCACTCGCACAGTGAAATTTGAAAAATGGAAATTGATGATAAATGATATTGCTGACCAGTCAGCGAACCAGAGCACCGAACGACCCTGTCAACATGTTTGACGCACGAGAATTTAGACCACGAGCCCAGAAATAAATGAAACAACAGCAAACCAAAAACAATCGTTTTCTACTAGAGACAAAAAACAACACACACACACACAGGGCGAGAGAGAGAGACACATGTGACCCTGTGGTAGGTCAGTTGACTTTAACATGAAATCCTTTAACAAATCCTCTTTCATATCCTTTATTAGCTAAAAGCTAATTTATAGGCGACAATTTGAAATTTACAATTTATATACATACAGGTACATCCATATGTATATATTTTTATGCAAACCAAAAGTTTGTTGTTTTATATAATCTGATATTCGTTGTTCAAAATATGTTGCCTAGTTTATTGGACCGTGTGAAAAGACCAACCAGTTTTATTAGCCAAAAATATGACGAAATTTGATTGTAGCTTCACATTGAGATATACCAGGTCACAAATTATATCGGTTCACTCTTAGATTAGTAATCAAAAAGTTTTGTAAATAAAAATAAGTAATGGAGACATTCATAAAAACAACTCACGCATTTAATTACATTGAAATTTAAAAGCCGCTTCAAGCATTAGAAATAAATCTACTTTAATATCCAACAGATTGCTTTAAATTCTATTTTAATTTGTTGTTTGGCTTCGTTCTGTGCTGATTTGTTGTCGCTATTTAATGCTGTTTTTTCATGCAATTTAATTAGTATTTCACTTAATTTTTATGATGGCAACGCACTCATTAACATTTTCATTTTTCAATTAACACAAACGTAATAAATTCCAAAGAAAATTACAAAAAAAAAAAAAGAAAAAAACTACGACGCGAATTTCCACAAAAGGCAAAATTGTGGAGAAAAGTTACATAGAGCAAAACGAAGGAAAAAGTTTAATTAAAAACACAAAAGTTGTTTTATTTATTTAAAACACACAACAAAACGGCAACAGAGCAATGAAAAAATATGTCTTCATTAACGACAAAACAAAAATAAAATTACAAAAAAAAAAAAAAAAAAAAAAAAAAAAATAGCCAACAAGTGCAAGGCAACAACAATGCAAACGACCAAAGCGCAAAAAAAACGGCATCATGAAAAAGCAGCGTGCAATAAATAAATACAAAAGCGAAATGCAAAAACATTTAAATTTCAATTAAAACTGAGCGCGGGAGAGCGCGAAGTTGGTGGCGGCAGAAAAGCTGGGCCTAAAGTGGACACACACTCTCTCTCACTCTCGTCCATCCTACCACTCACTCTCTTCAACTATCTCAAGCGCCATTCCTCTGGGCGCTCTCACTCTCGCTCTGTCTGGCACACACAATTTCAACTGCACAAATTAGAAAACTGAAAACAAAAGCGGAGTGCGTAAAAGCAAAAGGAAGAATAAAGCAGTAGGTGAAGTAATTGCGCATGCAAATAAAATGAGGCAATCTGCAGCAGCACCACCAAAGGAACGACGCTCATTAAATATGCAATTTACCAAGATTTGAAGTTGTCCTCGAATTGCTCATAATTGTAAACGACTAAACTTACCTTTTGAAATATATGATTCGGATTGATGCCCAATTCTGAAATATAGAATAACTTTAGATCACTTGGAATACTATATATTGACAGAGCTTACCCTCTAGGAGTGGCGGCTCATCCTCGAATGCGTTGCCAGAAGCCGCTCCGCCGGCTGCGCTGGTCTGCTTGAAGGATTTATCCTGCGCAAAGCTGGAGTCCGTGTAGGCGGTTGGATCGTAAAAGCCGCCAAGACCTTGAGTAGGTGCATTGTTGTAGGCGGCATCATAGTTTGGCGGCACCGTCGGCTGTGTGTTGTCGAAAGTCTGGAAATTGCTGTGATAACCCGAAAAATATCATCAGAAACAGTTCTTAAGCAATTTTAAATGCGGTGGCGTGTCACATGAAACTTACAGTTCTTGGCCAAATTCTGGCATATCAAAATTGTAACTGGCATCTGCTGATGGCCCGGAGGCGTAAAAATCATTCGGTCCACCAAACTGTGCCATATTATAAACACTAAACAATATTTAAAGTTATAGTTAATTTAGAAATACAGTGCAACACGTCACTGGGAACGGCTGATTGCCATTCACCGGTAACGTTAACATCTCTGTTAACGGAACGCCAATACTGTTACTGTTAAATGTCGGGCAGTGCTGCAAAGCGATCGAGTGGCGCGTAAATGTTAAGATTTAAGTGTAAGAATTGTAAATATTTTATGTAAAGAAAACTTTTCATAAAAAAGACTTTAAATAATTTTAACATTCATAATACATTTTTATTTGCATAGTTCCATTTGTAACATGCACACAAGTTATTCCTCAATTGCGGCTAGGTAATTATTGCATTTGTAAAGGTCTATAATTTAGATAGTATTATAATTTCGTATTTGTATTTAACTTGTTGTAACACGCAATGGCAAAAACATTAAATAAATTGTTAGTAGTGTGTAGTTACAGTTACGTAGAGAACACAGTTAGATAACTTTACGAATTTGTTTTTACTAACAATAAATAGCAATGAATTATAATTATGTAGGTATACATATATCAACATAGATAATTTAATAAATATATATATTA